TGACGGCCTACTTTTATTTTCTCAATGATGGGGGGGGGGCTTTCTGGCCTCTCCTTTTTTTTTAATATCTAATATTTTTACATGCTGCTAGTGAGAGAACTTGTTGTTAAAATATTTGAATCCCACCACTCTGAGATATATGGATAAAGTAAAAACATTCAAGAAGATCTGTGTGTAGACATGAACTGCAAGTTGACTAGACCTAAAGTATAGAGTGATAACGTTGCAAATTTTCTTCAAGTCGTATAATGAAGTGTAATATTCTACTTCATTAAAACTTACAGCTGTTATACAAAAGTCCAGATGAAGGCTTACAAGGATACTAAAGAAAACAGCTTTATTTAAGCAGCTGGATGAAGTCTGTAAATTTGAAACCATTGCTGCAAAATCCAGCCAAAATAGTATTAATTGGACAGGTATTGCATTCAAAAGTGTCCACTGTCAGTGTTTTTGTGTGTTCAGAAGATGCTATTCTCCATGGACACTGTGACTGTATGGTAAAATTAGGGGATGTCTGCAATGTTGTTATTCTGCATAGCAGAACCATTGTATAGATAATTACCTTAATAGTTGTACTAGCAGGTTATGTGAATAGTCATACTTCATTGTAAACCCTACAGTATTCACAAACCAAAGACATAGACTAATCAAGTAAGAAGGTCTGCAGTGAAAACTAGAGACATAAAAAGACTAGTGCCAAATAAATAAACATTTGAATCACAGATGAGCAGCTGCAGTTTTTTAAAAGTATTTAGAATAAACATTGGAAGTCTGCTCATAATGCATGTGACCTGCAATTCTCAGTATCACATCTTGGGATTTATCTGATGAATATGCAACGAAGACTTGCAGCTATCCCTTTGATATTCTTTAGTTCAGAGATGTGAATATATTGCAAAGTACATTAGAAGAATTGCAATTGAAGTCTCAAAATTTATTTGAAACCTCAACTGTGAGTCCTGAGCAGTCACAAAGTTTAAACTTTGGCAACAGTACAAATGCAGTTGCTATTCTCACTAACCTGAGTAACCCAAATGTGTCTGGTAAAACAGTTTTGTTACCCTAAACCTATAGCTTTCAACACTTCTACAAGATGAAGGAAAGCTAAGGGGAAGACAGCTTAATTGATGTATGCTAAATATCTTGAACAAGAGCATTGTAATTCAAGTGTTTCAGATTATGATGAGTTATACATCAATCTTGAGCTACAGCAGATGGCATAGTAAAGGGTGAATGCTGTGGTGTAGGGTTCTGTAAGATTAAGTGTCCATATAATTGTAGGGGATATATGATTTATGACACAGTAGTAAAGTTCCTATTGTCAAGTGACAATGGCAATCTGTGTCTTGACTATAAACATAAATAGTTACCAAGTACAAGGACAAATATTTGTAGCACATGATCAGTGTTATTACTTTATTGTTTGGACACTTAAAGCTCTATCTAAAAGCTTCTAAAAAAAGTTCTTAGAAAGTCCTTGAAATTGGTCTGAGCAATTTAGTATCAACCATGAATGTGGAAGCTCATGCTTTGGCTTACCATTGGTTTGAGTTTCCTGTTTTTGGATTTGTAGTAGTTGAGTTCTCTTCTACCTCTGTGGAGTTTGGATCCCAATACTTCAGTCACATTTTCCCAACCTCATTCCTTCCACATCCCTCTCCTTTGTTCCTTCTTCTCAATTCACCTTTCATCTGAGGCCCTTCATTGTTACCCTGAAGAATTTTTGGTGGAAACTTGTTCCTTGATGGTTTCCACCCTGGCACGATTGTTTTCTTCTTCCCTTTCCCTCCAAACATGGCTCCTCTGTTGTTGAGAACTTTTGGGTCAGGATGTCCTTTTGTCCCATGTCTGTTTACCATCATCTTCTGAGATTTACTTATGGCTCCCTTTTTAAGGCAGTATGTTTTTGAAGGTGTTTCTGACTCATTAGAATCCAAAGTCAAATCTGCCCATTTTCATGGTTTTTTTTCCTCATTGGCTTCATGTTTGTCTTAGTCTCCTCCTGAGCCTGTTATCATGTCTCATCCCCCTCCTTCCTCTCTTTTACTGGTTTATGCTTCTTCGGTCTCTGAGATCAACCATCATTTTTTTCATCGACTGTCCTGGTGACTAGGTACATGGCCAGGCTTTTGCATTTTTCCTCCTTGTGGAAGCCTTTCACCACAGACATTTAGGTTTTGCAGGTTCTCTCAGAAGGGCTCATTTTTCTTTTTTTCTTCTCCTTCTCCCCTTATCTCATTTCCTCCCCCCCTCTCCTCGGTATCCCATTTCTAGCCAGCATCTGTCTGAGGTTGTTCTTGATCTTCTGTGAAATGGGCCAGCTTTCTATTCCTGTTTGTTCGTTGTCCCCAAGAAATCCAGGGACTTCTTCCCTTTCTTCCCTGAACCACACCCCTCAACATGGATTACTGTATTTGGTGGGGGGACCTCCCAGGGAAGTTTCTGTATTTTCAGTTACTTCCTCTGTGATCTAAACATCCACCCACGTGTTTGCCGTGCGTGGCGACCTGTGAAGGGGAGGAGAGGATCCTGGTGGTTGAGTGGTGTCTGGGGCTCTGCAACACACCACTTTGTCCTTGAATTCCTGTACATGGGTGGCCCTGGGGTGGCCCTTCAGGGTCAATTGGCTGGTCCAGTCGGGCTAGGGTCAACTGAGTGCCAGTGTTGGGCGTTCTCAACGGGTGTTGTGGATATCGTGTCTGATGCTGGTGTTTGGGTATAGTGCTCACGAAACCCTGGCATTGCTGCAGTGTCTTTGTTTGATAGTGTACTGCATCCTCTCATAGGACTCCATAGTGTGCACTGAATCTTTCTCCTTAATTATGGATCCCCCCAATTCAAATAAAAAAAATGTTAAACTCTGCTAATCGGTAAACGACCACGCTTAGAAGACTCTGACCAGCAGTCTCCATCACAAAGTACACCTGTACCTCGCTTCCTGATCCTGCATTCACTGTCCGATAAATCTTTAGGGCAAATGTCTCCCCTTTTTTATTCAGAAGGGCTTTGAGGGGCTTGCTGACTCTCCAAAGTCAGTTAAGAAGCTCCGTTCTGGAGACATATTGGTTGAAACATCCACAGCTAAGCACAGTGAACTCTTCTTGAATTCAAAGGCCATTGGGGATACACCCATTGAAGCTACTCCCACGCTTCCTTG